AGACAATGCTCATTTTTACGAAATACATGACATTTTATGAAACATATGGCTATCGTAACGTTGTCATCCTAAGGATATTCGATGTCAGTACCTAGTCGTTTAGCCACAATCACAACTACATCTTATCAGTGGTCTTACCATTACTGAATACTGTCATTTAAACATGCTCAGTAGGTACATAAAAGATTATGGTTATTAATTAAAAGTTTTAATTAAACTGCAACATTAGGTCATTTAGTTAGTTATTATAAAATGTTTGAGTAATTAGTTAATGGTATAACCAGCTCGCTTACATCCACAAAATTTTGTTACTAACGTACAGATTTTTGAATAATTATGGATACGTAGAACATGTATGTAAAGTGATACTCATGTCATTAAATTATTGAATTTTAACTTCATCATTAAAACACTAAAAAGACACCGGAAGACAGAAAAAACCGGAATTATTACAAGGTAGAAAATAGAAGATTCTGATAGACAAATAAATGAAATGAGAGGGACTCATTCTTAATTCACCACAACGAACCTTACTTGTCCAGTATTTATGTAGACGTTATCAACGTGACACTCTTTTTGTATTCAGAATTATCGGTTAAAAATGCAAAAGGGGTACGACCAAATCTCTAACACTGAAAAAGACGTCAACTTTGTCAATTTTGATTCGATTGAATTTGAATATTCTTTTGTAACACTAGCGAAACGTACGCTTTTGTTGAGCTCGGTACAAAGCCGGAAACTACAGTTTATGTATAGTACGTTCCGAGACTCGGCTATGATAAACTTACCCCTGAATATTGCATTTTCGATTTCGACTTCACATCGGAAAAAGGAAATGTGAGAAACGAATTCTATCCAAACGTATGTATGGAACAGTGTATGCAGAGTATATAGCTGAAAGTTGAAATCACGTATCTATCCCCTGTGCTTGTGGGGACACGTAGATACATGTAAGTGCAGCATTTCGAAATGAAATGAGCGTTATAGGAAAGTAAAAGATAAAAAATTACTACCACATAAGAATAGTACACATATGTGCGTACATAGTACACATATGTGCGTACAAAAACGGTATTGAAAGTAAATACTGTTGCATTTTATTGTAGACTCAAGCCCTTCCTTTTCAGACTGTATCCAATTTTCACGTCTGGCCCCTAATTCCAACTGTGGTGGCCAGAGTAGAAGAGAACGAAAGTTATAGTAGGAAAGGTAGCAACAGTTTTCAGTGAGTCATTTTATATTGCCTAAAAACGTTTTTATAAGATATATCATAGATTTCTATAAAGTATAGACTCTACTGATATGTATACAATACCTTTACAGTAAAAATTCCTTGGTTTTATTATTCGCGTTTTCATTATTCGCGGGTGAAAAAATTGCAATAAGTAAACAGAAGAGGATTCGATGTCATTTATTAAGGGGATTAACCGCAATAGACCGCTCGTGTCTAGTGTGAATTTTTCCGAAAACATGGATTTCTATTCTAAATATTGTGATGTAACGCTGCGAGATAAATATGTGATTTTTTGAATGGTAACAGACAAAGGTTGCCATTAACTCGGTACGTTTTTGGTTTTCAATAATATGGTTATTAAAAGCTTCTACAAGTGCTTAAAGTTTATGCTTCTTATAGGACGCCTATTTTCAATAGAAATTAAAAAATAGCCTTCGACAGGCTTTAGAAAAAAACATTAACTATCTTACTGCAAGATTTCAAACCTCTGTTCCAAATATTAAACTCATGATATCTAGAACCGATAAACATGTTTTTAATCTACGGCGCGAGTATTACTGAATCGGCATCTTTTGAATATGTACTGTTGGTACGTGCCGGGGGAGCTTTTATAAAAGATGTAATCGAGTAAATAGAAAAGGATTCTGTTTTGTTTTTCAACGTATTGGCATTTTTTGAGTACCTACTGTTGGCTCGTACCGAGGCGACTTTTATAAAAGATGTAACCGAGTGGACTAATTTCAAAATTCAAAAGAAGAAAAGATCACTAAATTTTTTAAACCGTTGTCTAAAGGTGATTATAACAATTAATTTTAATTGCGAATTTCTTAATAAATTGATTTTATTCTCATACCTATCGGTGTTATTTTGGAACCTTAGAACTTATCCCCTACTATTCCGTACTAACTACCATTCCATATGGAACGCATACCTCGCGAATAAAGAGCTTTCACTGTACTTCTTCACCTCTACTTCTTCCTTTATTGAAACTTTGAATTTCTCAAAAACCACAGCAGCTTACGTAAATAACTATTTGTGGAGGGCATCGAAATGGAGAGTATTCTAACCTAAGTCAACTTCTGTTCCATGTTAACTCATATTTCCGCTTCTAATACGCATGCATGTCCTTAATATACGAAAAAGCTATATCTTCGAAACAAAAAATAAAAAGTGCGACGATAAAGCAGAAATTTTTCTTGACTCAAAGTTTCTCCAACTCGAACCTATTTGGTGCATTTATGATGAAGTATGAAGCTATTGATTTACTGTTTTCTCCATTTTTAAAATTTTTAGTCGTTTTCCTTTGTTAGGTAAAGTTTCAAGTATGAAAATAATGATACTGTAGTACAATTGTATATAAGATAAACAGGGTGCGGTCTGTGGTGTATAACTCTCGAAGGCACGTGGACTCTTCAATTAGTTTTGATGATAATTTAATGAGCATTGAGCAATAATTTGACGACCTTCTGAGTATTTTTCTTTTGTGACGTTTTCGGGCAAGTTCTTAACAACCAGCGCTGATTGCAATTTGCGTCTCCCAGTGTAAAGGAATGTCGTTCCTACAACGACGCTTTCCATGTAACTACGTCGCTGTAAATGTACGGTATAACTACGTATGTGTGTGTAATTTACAAGAAGTGCGCACTCGAAAACTTGCTCAAAGTTTAGCTTGAAACTGCAGTTTTGTTCTGTTTTCAAATAAAACACTGGCGCCGCTGCCATTGTCGTTCTTTGTAAAATGAATAACGAGTGCGATTATTTTGTTGTCACATTTCGACATCGAACATCTGCGAATTGCTCCAATAAAAAACAAAAAGTATGACCTTTCTGTCACGTTATTTATACAAGACGCAGAAGTCGGGGTCAGTCAACAATTAAAATGGATTTTCGAAATAATTTTTTTGTAGCATTCTTATTAAGAAAATGTTGAATTAAAAGAGTTAATCAAAGCCATGTTATTACTCGGATAAACTTACGGCACTGTTTTATACTATATAGCAATCAATTAATAAAATTTACTGTATAAAATTGTGTTTGGCTTTTCTAAAAATGTTCGGTCTCTCAGAGTCTCTGAAAGCGAGACTGTCAAAAAAACTGTTTAGCGTCTCTGAACGAGAGAATCGGGTCGCTCAAAGAGAGATCCTCATTTCGTATCCGTATCGTCTCTGAAAGAGAGACTGGAATCTTTGAACGAGAGATTCGAATCTCTGAACGAGAGACTCGAATCTCTCAATAAGTGGTGTCTCGATAGGCATGGTTAAAATTTTCTAAAAGTTCAACATATTTCAGAGATTCCAGTCTTTCTACGAGAGACTCGAGTCTCTCAATTTTTCAGTTTTATTGATTCAGTCTCTCTGTGAGAGACTCGAATCTCTGAATTAACAATTTTATCGTTCGATTCTCTCATACAGAGACAGAGAGAGAGATCCATAAAAACACCTAGGCAATAACTGAGAGACTGTGAAAGACTGTGAGAGCCTCTCAGAGACGCTGAAAAACTCTTAGAGACTGGAGAGAGACTGAAAATTTTTGCCTAGGGATTGTATTAATTAAAAAAAAATATGAAATTGTTTACAGTTGATTGTGAATTCAATTACGTAATTAATTTGTAGGGGTAATATTGTCTTTTATGATTAGTTTAACAGAATATACTGTACATTTAATGAAACCATTATTTTACTACTACAGTTGTTCAATTTCTCCAATCCAAAAAGACAAGAAATACTTTCAGTATTATTCATTACACCTAATATATTTTTGTTATGATATCACATTTTTGTGATATTATGCACAGATACTGCTCTTTTCTATGGTTGATATTAAAATACATATAAATTTTTAAGTACATACATTATATCCGGATTTTTAAAGTCAATATTGCTGAAAATTTCCAAATGCTTTACTGGTTCTCTTCACATTTTGTGCAAGGATTTACTCTGTAATAACTTTTTACTAGATTTAAATTTAAATTTTCGTTTGATTATTCTGAAAACATGATACCATAAATGAATTAAAGTAATTATATTAACAAGCAGGAATGAAACTTACCTCCTTGAAGTAGGTATATTTATATTTACTCTATAAAGAAAAAGGTAGTATAAAATACAACTAGTACAACTTAACACTCGAATATAGACATTTAAACCTGCGCACTTCTTTGCAATTGTTTCGTTCCAACTTAAATACATCAAAATCAGAGATTTTTAGTTAATGATTCTGATTAAAAAAATATCTTGGACTTCGAAAGTCCCTTTAGCAATACTTCCTTCTTTTGATTAAACGTTTTAAACAACAGTTAGTTCCAGAATGTTGTACTATCAGCTATCCCAATTATTTCGATTTTGTCTACAAGGCAAAATGCTTTTTTTTCAGTCGCATATCATTTTAATTAATTGGGATGAAATTTTACAAAACGCTTAGCTTCATAAAGCTAAATCGATCGCCTTGACGGTTTTTCACACGTCTTAACCATTTTTCCATAATATTTAATCGAAAAGTTCAATTTTCTACCGTTAGACAAAACATATAGACAAACTTAGGTTTGATTGATAAGTTACACAATTGTTAGAAACACTTTTCTGGAAACTTCTAAAAACGTATGTAGAAAACGACACAGTATGCTTGTAGAGCTCGTGTGACCTTTCCCTTACAATTTGAACAAGAAAAATTATATCGGCTTTTCAAATCTTCCGGTAGCTTAAGAAAAGGTCGTTTATTTCTTTCAGATAATTTTACAAAAGTAGATAATTTATAAATAGGTGCTTACCTGTCCCGAAAGGCAAACAAACGAATGGAAATTGCAAGAAAATATTTTTACAGTTGCTCGAAGAAAATGAATCGCATGACGCACTTTGAAATTTCAGCTGCACCAGGTTATCGAATTGTCTTACGGTACGCGTCGCGATGCTAACTTGAAGAAGGAAAAACGGGGAGTGACGCCAGTTGCTATACCGACGTCGCGCCCCCTCTACCCCAATCCCCTAACACCCTGCCAATGGGGATGCGGGTCGCTATTGATTTCCGCTCTTTTACCTCACGCGGGATCGACTTATTTCAAAAATGAGTCCTTATCATTCCCAAAATCGTTATCTACAAGTAGTGCGACAATGGGCCAAATTGGAAATTGCTCCTGTACCGATTAAATTAACGTATTTCCTCGTCGTATTTTTCATGACACGGGTCTTGGAAAATTCGATCAAATGCAAAATATGGAAGAGTGCGCACGCACCACTGTAAAGGGGCAACACTGTCATGGACGATACTCCAATATTATCATCCTTTTACAGGAAATATGTAGGAAATTTCGTTTACAGTTTTCTTGAAAATCCATTGATTAATTTAACCCATGTTTGCACTGAATTTATATTTTGTTCTCGTAATTTTGGATAAAGTTCGGATTTTTGTTTATAAAATAGACAAATAATACCATTCGAGAAAATGAGTCAAATGACTAATTAACCAACGTTTGTCGGTGTACCCAAACGCTTATTTCAATGAGATTACTTTTCCAGACCCGCCATTCTAAGGCAAAGGTTTCAAATAATTTCCGTCCTAAATACGCAAGAGAAGAAGCTATTCGAAGCATAAATGACATTGTAGACGCATAACGTCGTCCAAATTGCTGTTTAAAGGGAAACAACAGATGTTAAAAGATTTAGTTGCGTCGTTGTTTTTGCATAATTAACTTTCTGAATTGTACGAGACCTGGCAAATATTTGCTGGCTTTTCACTTATTCGAAATACCACCTTTAAAATGTAAAGGAGATTATGGTGTTTGTTTGATTTTTTATCTTTGTTTTTCATTTTCTTATAACATATGATTCTCCAAGAATGCCTACACGAAGAAAATGAAAAAAGTAAAATTTACCTAAATATTAAAGTGATATTTACAATTTATCCCACTAGCACGTTCCTTCGTAAGCGAAAATAATAAAAATTACAATTTGGACCCGAATTTGTAAAAATGTAAAATATTTTTTCCGTCTCTCTCACTTAACAAATTTTGTTAGGTCGACGAGAAATTTTACTAGGTATTTTAGTTGATATTACAAATTAAATTTTAATAAGTAAGAAACTTGAAATAATTTTAAAAAAAAAACACGTCAAAATTAAGATGAGAGGCTGGTGCATACGGAATAGGTATAATATACCAATTAAAAAGACTAATTCACACCAAAAATGGAGATGAAAAACCAGAAACAATCTTTTTTAAACTGAGTCTTATGTTTTATTAGTTTCCTGGCCGTTATGTAAAATACCAAGTTTTACAGATTGACTGCTGCATACATGTACGCTCTCGATGCTCAGACGTTTTCATAGGCTGCTGGGCGTAAATGATATGATTGTTGCGTTGTTTGTTAATAAATATGTTACACTTAACGGCGCGCAAAATCTGTTGTAGCATTAAAACGGTTCCATTATAATAGCATTAACACCTGGTTCTGTCTGTTAAACAACGAATTTCCGCTAATTGCCGATAAATTTTAATTAGGTATCGAATTTTCCGTTGTTTAAACACTTTTTTGAATTATNAAGTCTATTAAAAATCTTCAGACTCGCAGCTATTTGCATCAGGAAGAGCGTTAAAAAGTGACACTTTCAACAAATAATGTTTTCTGCAGTAATCTTTTTTTAACAGATGGTGAATTAAAATTAGATCTAAATCTAGTATTGTGCGGGTGAAATGCCGATCGTTTTTTAATAAATTTATTTAAATATTCTTGCATTTAACCCCTCTAATTTTTATAAATTAAAATTAAATTAGTTCTCTTAATGATCTGTTCAACCAAAATCCAGTTTAATATTTACAACATTAACTCCACATTAACATAGAGAATGGTCTTTCCTATCCTGAGCCAATCTTCAGATTTCCCCAAAACTACTATAGAACATTCCACATTCTTAATTCTTTGAGAATAGTAATCTAATCTAGATCTACCTCTACTCCTCTTCCTGTATGCCTGAGAAGGTGTCCTACCAACCTATTCCTTTTTGACTTTCATAGAGTCCTTTGTTCTCCTATTCTTTCTAATACCTCTTCATTTCCAATCTTCTCTATCCACGGTATCCTCAGCATTCGCCTGTAACACCGCATTTCGAACGCTTCTAACCCTTTCTTTTCCGCCTCGCCCACCGTCCATGTTTCGCACCCGTACAGCTCTGCGCTCCAAACATATACCTTTAACAATCTTTTTCGAATTTCTAAATTAATCAATCGCGAGCATAGAGCATAGTATAAGACTTGCACTAAAATATTTTTTCTGTCTCTCTCACTTAACAAATTTTGTTAGGTCGACGAGTTTACTCTCAATCTCAGAACTTTCATAGTGTCTAACAAAAAAAACCGAACAGTTTCACTTCTTCACAGACATACATATACATATATACGTAACGAAAATTAGTTAACAAACTTTACAACAACTGACGCTCTTCGTTGTATACGCGCTCTCTTGGGTCCGTTTTACATTTTCCTTAAATTATCTAAAAAAAAAAACAAAAAGCCGGTGAAAGTTCAGAAAAGGTCTTTCAAGAAAGAAAATTTATAAAAAAAGTTGTGAAGGCACTATAAAGGAATAGAGACTGCGTTCTATAATCAACCAAAAGTGAAAAGTTACACATGGCGAAGTGCTTCAATTTATCATTATCCTTGAAATACGTATTCCACGAAAAAATGTTTTAACGACAACGTATCGTATAACTAATAAACATCCCAACGAGAAATAATAAACCGTAGTGCCAAATTATCAAAAATATAGCAAGTTCATTGGAATCATTTCGTGGTACACTCCATGTTCTCCATTAATTTCATTGTGTTAATTAGAAAAGAGATTGAGTCAAAACTTTTGCAGTATTATTTTACCCTTTTTACATTTTATTTCGTAATACTTGCACAACTTCAAAAACGTAGGTATATGTTTAGTTTTCAAACTGTACACGGAAAAACAATCTTAGAAAAATAATAAACCATGCTCGTAACTATAAGGGTAGCGCAAGAAACATATATTCACAAAATTCAATATTAGTCCAATCATTTTTAAGAGAACATAAACTTTACTAGCAAACATAAGAAATTTTACTGTACTAGCATGGTAATTTTTCTATTGTTAGTCAATGGCACAGATATTATGGGACAACATGGTAATTCTTGCACGATCTTCCCTCTATGTAGGGTTTCATATTGAAAGATCTAACTCTAAAGTTCTTCTTTTCCAAGTTGATACTAGTTTTTATCTTTTGACGAGAAAAACTCCACCACTCTGGCTTATACTTCCTGATTATTGGAATGTCACACATGAAGGAAATGGGTCATGGACTAAGAAAAATAGTAGTCAAATAGCGCCAAGTCTCAACTGTACGCTGGATGTGGTAGCAGCTTGATCCTTGGAAACGTGGTCTAGTATTGCCATGTTGTAACGGCAAAAGTAGATACTAATGAGGTTAGCATCGTCTTTTTTAAACCATTTGTTCAATGCTGTGGTCCTCGGGACTTTCTCCTTTTAGGAATTTTTCTGTACTTGACTATAAGTACCTACAATCACTAACGATTGTATGAATTGAAGACTAAAACAACTGCTGATATATTGCAAATCTTTTTAGTCCCCCTTAATATAATGACTATGACTATATCATTTAAAAATATTAAGTAATTTTAACTGAAGCAATAAATTTAAGGTATAATGTTTATAGAATATGATAATCATTAACAATACTAATCGATAAAAATATTGTTTTGAGTTTTTATTATTGGAAAATTTTCCCACAGGGATATTTTTGGTAGAATATTTTGATAAGCATATTTTTCGTGGATTAGGTTACAATTATTTTATCGGTTGATATTAGAAATCAAATTGATGCAATGATGAACATTTATTGGAAAAGACCGATCATAAAAGTATACAAGATTTAAAACGAAATAATCAAGAATATTATTGTCGTTAAAGCTTTTTTCGGAAATTGAATGAAAGAGTACCGTTACGATGAATAGAGAACCTTATGAATTCTATATTGTATAACCACTGTTCGTTTCACATCTTACAGTTCTAATGCGTTAATATTGCAAAGCCAGGAGTGCCTTATGTGCACCTGTATGTTGTAAGCTGCAAGCGTTTCTGTATGACTCCCATGTGCATCCTTGTAGACTTTTAGGATTGCAAAAGACTTCCTAGTCAAATACGTATTCCATTTGATATAGGTGTGCAATTGTAAGGTGTTATTTCGTAAAACACAAAGATAGGCACACTGTTACTATTAGTAGTAGTACTACGTTATTTTAAGAGTATTTTTCAGTACACCATGTTTATTTTGTAGCATATACAGTAAACAATAAATTCTTCCAATACTTCTCGTATCTATGATAAGACTAATTTTTATTTTAGAAAATAAATATTTACACGGAAGAAGTTTCAGTTAAATTAATTTTAGTGTAAGTATATCGAAAAAGTTGGATTTCAATTTTGATAAAGAGAAAGTGGGTCATTCCAGATTGTCTTTGAATTTCCCAGTCGGATCGCTTAAAAAAGATGATTATATGTTCACGATGAATATAGTGTATGATGTAAACATAGTACTTTCCGAGGATATAGTACCTACAGTTTGTTTGTTGGCAAACAATAAAATGAAGTTAGGGTTGGAGGTGAATCAACTAGCAAACTTGGAAGGTTTTAAGCTGCTGTTCCCTTGTGTATGCGTGACAGGGTATGATGGATGGAGAATTTGAAAAGGCTTTTAACTGGCATGCAGAGCGCGGGCTTTGAGGAATGCTGGCAAATATTGTAATTAAAGAATGAGGTGTCAGGGAAAGTTTTTGAAAATGACACGCATTTATTTTAGCAGCACGTATGATGGACGTATTTTGCTTAATCGGAAAGAAAAAATACAGTTTCTTGATGCATATTTTGTGTTATAGTAGCTAGTT